TCTTTTTCTCATTTTTTGAAACAGTGTGTATAAATTAAACTTATTTCTTTTTTAAATATTTGTAGATTAATAATGAAATCTAGGTTTTTCTTTGTGAGAAGATTTTTACCTGTAAGTTCAATTTCTTTAAGAGACATAAAGCTATTCCATTCTTTCCTCTTCTTGAGTGACTTTATTGGTTTGCATCTTCAAGGACTCTGTCTATTTCATCCTGAGTTATCAATTATTGGCATAAAGTGTTTATAATATTAAATTCACAATATGTCAATATTAATAAGTTTTTAAATGGGTATTTCATGTCAACTCTGCACTATAAATAAAAAAATAAAAGATGCCATGAAGAAAACTGAAAACTATTACAAGTTACCCAGGATTAGCCAAATTAAGTTCCATATGTAGTCCCCAAGACTGCTCTCACTTCTGACCTTTGACTGCAAGTTTGGGGTTCCCAAATACTGTCAGTTTTGTTAATTTGCTGGAAGGACTCACAGCTCATGACTATTATACTCATGGGTATAGTTTATTAAAAGGAAAATACAGATTGAAATCCAGAAGGGCCATAAGGCAGAGCCCGAGTGAATTCTAAATGCAAAGCTTCCAGTGTTCCCTCCCACTGGAACTAGGAGGCGTTATCCTCCTGCACTCTACATGTGACAACACACACAGAATCATTGTCAACGAGAGTGCAAATGGCTTCCAGTGTCTGGAGTTTTCCACTGAGAGCTGATAACTAGGTATGATTAGTTGGCCTGTGTGGTTGATCTGTCTCCAGTCTCCAGACCCTCTAAGTGTGACCCAGCCCCATAAATCCCATTGTTAGTATTTGGGATGGCCAGCCCCACCTAAATTCTCAGATGTGACCAGTTCATGAAAGACATCTTTATTAAGTATGATAGATTACCACCCAGAAGTCAAGGGCAAGGTCAGACTCTTTCTGGACAAGGTGAATTTTTACTACAAACAGTTGTTCTTTAGCATCGGAGATTGACTCCAGGATCCCAAGGACACCAAATTTTTTGTGGATGCTCAAGTCCCTTATATAAAATGGTAGTATTTGCATATAACTCTGTACATTCTCCATATACTTTAAATAATCTCTAGATTAATTATAGTACTAATAGCAATGTAAATGCTATATAAATAGTTGTTGCACCGGGCGCGGTGGCTCAAGCCTGTAATCCCAGCACTTTGGGAGGCCGAGACGGGGCGGGATCACGAGGTCAGAGGTCAAGTCATCCTGGCTAACACGGTGAAACCCCGTCTCTACTAAAAAATACAAAAAAAAAAAAAAAAAAAAACTAGCCGGGCAGGGAAGTCGTGGGCGCCTGTAGTCCCAGCTACTCAGGAGGCTGAGGCAGGAGAATGGCATGAACCCGGGAGGCGAGCTTGCAGACCTGGGAGGCTACTGCCTCCCAGCCTGGGCGACAGAGAGCGAGACTCTGACTCAGAAAAAAAAAAAAAAAAAAAAATAATTATTATGCTTCTAATTTTAATTTATATTATTTTGTTGTTTTTATCATTTTTTTTCTCAATAACCCCAGCGATCTGCAGTTTGTTAAATTCTCGGAGTGTGATTATGGATACGGAGGATAGACTGTGCAAGTCTTTTTGTTGATGGACACGTCACCAAACTGGTTGAGGAAGGGAGGATATAGCAAAGAAAGAAATAAAGTATATTTAATATAGTATTCACAAAATCCTAGTGTATTATCTATCAAGCGCCACCTTAAACTACCTAGGACATCTGTTATGTCAGTGAGACTTTATAATAAAGACCAAACTCATACCCAGGAAATGCTTTTAACAAACAAAGCCAACAGAGTTCTATTTATAACTTTGCATTAGTTCTTTCAAGTGGAATATTTTATGTTGGGGTTGACTGGCGGTGTCTGGATACTATCGCTAAATTATTTAAATATGTGATGTGAAATTAGGAAAATTAAGTACATTTGTTATTTACTCATTAGCATCAAAGTTAATTGAGACAGCATGTTAACATCTTTAGATTATTAGATACTTGACAATAAGGTATAAAAATAATAGTTCATTTCATTTTTGCTAATTATTTTCCCATTTAAGTTAACCCGGCATCTGCTTTACCTATGGTAAATGAATATGCATATAGACATAGTAGCAATGTATTTTCAGTTATACACTTGGCTTCTAGTTAAAGTTTTTGATGGCAGGAAAAAAAAGCCTCTATCATTTTTATAAAAGACTCCACAAGGATACAGCACACTGTTCTGACATGAGTAGAGTATGAAGAAAACGGAGGGATTCTAGAATTGTCTGATTTTCAGTGCTTTGGATTCCCACCATATTCAACAAACATCCAGGAGAAGCTGCATTAAACAGGGCATCTCAGGTGCTATCCTGGTCATAGGAGAGATAATTGGGGAAAAAGGAACAAACTAGAATCAGATATTTTCTAGAATAATTTTCTGATAGGTTCAGGCTTATAAACACATCTGGGATATTAGAATGTAAATCCTTTTACAGAGGCAAAGTCTTTGCTTTGTTTACTGTAGCACTTAGTAAACTCTCAGTAAGTATTTTTCAAATTAATGAACACATGAAAAAAATAGCTATTCAACCAATATATTTTGGATAGCAGCATGTAATAGAAAAGCAGAAATGTATCCAAAATTAAATATTTGACCTTTGCACAGAAGTCTTTTATTTGGCTGGGGAGCAAAGATTATTTTACTACCTCAAGCAGAAACCTGTCTCTCTGGTCATTAATAAATTCATGGACAGTCCTTTTTGTGTCTGAACCTGTGAAGAAAGTTGAAATAGATTTAAGTTTGTGCATCATCCTTAAAAATGCTGTATAAAATAAAAGCCATATAATTAAATTATTCTACAGTATGTATCCGATCTTTTAAAAAATACTATACCTTCAATGGCTTTTACAACACACTCAAGTTTATTTAATAATAGTAATTACAATTTATTTTATGTCTGTCATATTCCAGAAACTTCATTAGCCACTTTAAACACATCATAATCCTATAGCAGCCCGAATAAGGTACCCACTATATCCCTATCCTGTCCGTAAGGTCCTGAGTACATGAGCTGTCTAATTCTTATCCAAGCTTCCTTCCTTCCTTCCTTCCTTCCTTCCTTCCTTCCTTCCTTCCTTTCTTTCTTTCTTTCTTTCTTTCTTTCTTTCTTTCTTTCTTTCTTTCTTTCTTTCCTTTCTCTCTCCCTCCCTCCCTCCCTGCCTTCCTGCCTTCCTGCCTTCTTTTCTGAGACAGGCTGTTTTCTTAGATTTAATTTCCTTGTTTTCTCTCTTTCTTTCTCTCTTTCTTTCTTTCTTTCTTTCTTTCTTTCTTTCTTTCTTTCTTTTTCTTTCTTTCTTTTCTTTTCTTTCTTTCTTTTTCTTTTCCTTTCTCCCTCCCTCCCTTCCTTCCTTCCTTCCTTCCTTCCTTCCTTCCTTCCTTCCTTCCT